CCCTTCTCCGAAAGCTCCGCGGGACCACCTACCACTAGTCTTCGGCCGGAGGGGTTTATTGCACAAAAACGCCGGGACGCAGGCTCCCGAAGAGGGAAGCCCAACGAATGTCAGATGCAAAGCCCCGCACCTCATTAAGATCATATTGGCATACTCTCCCAAAAAAAAAAGAGCAGACCCCATTGAAGACGAGAGTGAGGTACAACAAGGCCATTTCTGTCCACCGCCCTTCTCACGGAGCCGTACGTGGACGTTACCGCTCATACAGCTCCCAGCCGGCAAGCAGTTAGCCTTCCTCTACAAAGAATGGAAGTATGGATGAATCGACATCAAATATAGGAATTCGGTTTTTCTTTTCAGCAATAACATGATAAGAGCATCCACAAAAACCTACGGGTCACGCCAAGGTTTTTATCACTTACTTGATAGAGTCTTGTATGAAATCGCTTGCTCGAAGAGGAAGGAAAATGGCCACTCCCCATTTTTGCCCTATCACTAGTGATTACTCCCGATCCGAAGCACCCCGAACTACCAGCTTTGAAAATTAGTTGCTTAGGCTTACCGAACCTATGCTTCTTCCCCGACACCACCAAAGCCTTATATATATTATTAGAAATATATATAAACCCGGGCTAGGACTGAGATCGGACTTATCGAACCACGTTAGCAATCCGGTTCAGGAAAGCAGGTAAAGACATCCAATGAGCTAGATTCCCATCTTTCTTTCTATACGCAATTAAATATTTTCTTTGGGCTTCCATGAGTTAAAGAGCTTCTCTTTCTTGGACGAGAGCCATATTAAGTTAAAAGCAAAAGCAAATAAATCAGTTTCAGAATGAGCGAATAATCATTTTGATTGATTACAGACATCGAATAGACAATCTTTTAGACTATTTTGAAACTATATAATCGAATCAGTAGAAAGGAAGAAGAAATGCACCGGTTTCTAATTGAAGAAGAGCAGAAAAAAGGATATGACACTCTTGAAGTCAGTTCTGTCGTCCTACTCGTGCTCTTGTGGGTATGACGAGCGGCTGCGGGGAACTCCGCGAGGGCGATAGGCCCACAGCACCTTATATGCATGGTTCTTAGCTCATCCCGTACCCCAAAAAACCAAAAGATGGAAAACAGGGGAATGGCCGGTTATGGAAGGAAAACCCCTTTACCCCCTGCTTCCAGGGCCATCAGGGCCGGAAGGAATGCCAGAAGCAAACGATTCCGTCGCACTGTGTAAGCAAGCAGACAGGCAGGGCAAGAAAGACCACGGGCCAGTTCTCCCAAGATGCGGTCAAGCACCCTCCAGTCCATTTTTCATGTCCCAAGGAGCGCTAATCCCAAGAACAGAGGAGAAGATACCCTCGCTGGACCAGGACGAGGCTGCTACTCTATCGACGCCTGTATGCGGACACAACTGAAAGGGGGTGAGCCTTTCCCGTAATCCGACATGGACCTAGAACTCGCCCTTTCGGTACCTGTCTAGCAAGCTTTTTCTCTGCCGGTAGCTGGTCAAGAGTAAAGGCGAAGCTTGGATCCGCCTTAGAAGAAAGGTTCGCACTGAACACTTTCCCAATCCCAAAACAAAAACAAAAACACGAAACAAGACACACATGGGCAGGCCCAGCAAACACTTCTCTCTCTTATGTAAAGACAGAAAAAAGATTCTATCATAAGAGAAGTGAGGATCATGTCAATCACTGTCAAATCGAATGGAGAATGACACAAAGGCTTCAGTGCATATCCCTATAGGAAAAGAAGTGAAAAGCCCCTAGTCCCCAGGCATTTTCGGTCAACTGGGGGACACAAAATTCCTCTACAACATCGAATTCCGCGGCAGGAGCGATATCAGATACTGAGTAGGTGGCATAGGTGGTATCATATCAGCAATCCAGTTAAGCAGCATTATACTAGACTCTAACAGAATAAAAGTAAGCGATAGAGAACTTTGCGCCACCATAACCAGATGATTGGAGAAGAAGATCGGAGACAGATATTGATTCCTTGCCGGTGGGCACTCTATTGGATCTCCTGTGCTACCTCGACCAAAAAGGGCTACAACCTCTGATTCCGGGACATAATTTTTGGAAAAGGATTCCACAGTCTCCGTTTTAGAAGACAATTCAAGACTAACATCAGACTCCTCCGCGGCATCGGTGGTTACCACTGAAGGGGATGTTGTCGCTTACTAGGATGTTTTCTCCTAATCGTCTATAGAGTTTCGAGCTAGTGATAAAAAATGGATTTGGCAGAAGCTTCGATCTAGAATGCAGTATCTGGGATTAAAAAAGGATACCGCTCTACTCTAGCAGTAAGAAAAAGTCCTCCCCTCCATTCTCCATTGCTTACGGAGACGGCAAATCCAGAGAAAGTTCTAGGCCCTATCTTGGGTTGGCATCAATGTTAGCAGATCGACTCCAAAGAATGCCGGGGAGTTGGATAAGATTGAGTTCGTGCGATAAGAATCAGAGTAAGGGCGGGGGAGAGCCCAAAAGTAAGTGGAGTTAATGGGACGACTCCGCCTTCACTAAAGAGGAAGCAAGTAGGGCACAGGCTTTGAGGTTGGAGCCTTGCCCGTGAAGGTATCCCAATAGTTGTGCTAATCCAGACTGTCTTCCAGAAGCAAAAAGGAATCCTATCGCTCTAAGAGGAAATGAGGCTGACACTGAGATTTCCTTCCTTTCTGTAAAAGTGAAGACTTTCCGCCTCCAAGCTGGATTTGATTGAAGGACTACTTCCCCCATAACTATCAGAGTTGGAAGCGAATCCCGGATAAGAGTAAGAGCAAACTTAGAACTCGCCTTTCAGGCTATGCCCTTCACTTCAAGTGTATTATTTACAGGATTCAACTGAGTAGGGGTAGGAGTCAGGGGTTCGAGCCCTTCTCCCACAATTGGCAAGAGCCAGTGATCGCCAATTCCTTTCCCAAAGGCTCCTCGGACTGGACTAGAGTATACGTTCTTTTGCGCTTTCCGTCGATCGAAGTAGGGCAAGTCTCAGTCTTGTATTTGAGGTTGGTCAGAGGGCTGGCCCAGGGCATGTCGGAGCGAGGGGGTCAATCATCATCGTTTTTCCAGAAAAAGGTAGTTGAAAGCTGGAGCTTTACGAAACGAGTTGTTTTCAAAGCATCCGAGTTGGTAGAGCTTCGAGCGGGAACTTATCGAAAGGAGTGTTGGCAGATCGACCCAAGGGCACGCGGCGAAGGTAATTGAAAACAAATCAAAACGCCGTCAATAAGAATTAAGTTGTCAATTGTTGGCCCACAGGCCTTTCATTTCAACATGAAAGGGGACATTTTTGCTTACGTTGAAGAGTTTTTTCCTACGGTGTCTGCCGCTGGAGAGCCTTTATCCATAAAGTATGCCTCTGGAGGGGTCATTGTCAATCAAATCTAGAAAGAGAGTGTTTTTTAACCCCCCTCTAATAGAATCTAATATTAGGTATGGTCGGTGATGCGATCCCCTTTCCTACCCAATATTAGTTGACAAGAGGTTTTCTTATGAAAGAAAGTGGAGGATTTTGTGAATGTTGCCGAATCTCTATAGGAGTCAGAAGCGAAAGGGGATCCGATAGGCTACTCAGCTGAAGAGGAATGGTCTTAGTCAACTTTCTATTGTCAATGTTCAAGTTCTTTTAGTCTTATGCTTTCTATGTCTAAAGAATAAGTCCAAAAAGAATGAAGCCCCTATCTTGACCTCTTAAGAGGCCAGTATCCGTCCTTCTTTCTTACCAGGTGCTTGAGTTGGAGTGGAAGTGCTTGGGATTCTTTCTGGTTCTGGCTTACACAGGTAGTAAAAGCACTAATCCTCCCTTGTGTAATCTTTTTAGGGAGTGCTCTTCCCTGTATAATCCTAAAGCCCTAGGAGATTTTCGCATTCAAGTTCCTTACGCAATCCAGTTACAGAAATTTAGAAAGTTATCCTCCTTAGGAAAGTTCCTATAGAAAGCCTGTTTCAGTTTCAGTGATAGGGTAATCCTCCACAGTCGAAGTTGGACCTGACATTGGGAGTTTCCATAGCATAGGTTGTGGTTGTAGCCCTAAGCAGGAATAGTTTGCGAGCCAGTTGCAGTGACAGTTGGAGTTGCTTTACTTGGTAGAGTCTAGCATTCCCATTCTTCGGCGGCTTTATTTGCGTAAAGAAGGGCATATCCAAATAATAGAAAGGGACGCCTTTTAAGCTAGGAAAAAAGGAAGTGGCAAAGGGTCTTTTTCGTCTTTATGATGTATAGAATTTAGTTAGGATTAGACTTTGATTCGGTACTTATTAAGCAAGCATCGAAGGCGGGACTCTTTTCCTAGATAGAGATGGTCTAATTCAAATCACGCCAAGAGAGGTTGAATCTTCTCCCGTATCTATTATCTATATAACATTTGAATTTCTCTTAAATGATAAAGGAACTAATATGTTTCCACTGTTTAACAAACTCACCTCTAAAACCCCTGAGGTAAGAAGGTTTCCTCCCGTGCAAGAAAGAGCAGGGTAGTACCAGTACGAGTGGTAGTGGGCAGTAACCCAACTATTGAAAATATGGCTCCTGGAAGTGTTCGTATGGCTAATCCGCTGAGGCCACCGGTATGGGTGCAAGTAAAAAGTCGAGCTCGATGTGGAAGAGCAGCGACAGGAATCGCAGGAGGAGGAGGGGAAAGAGATGTGGGACCAGCTACTAGACCAAGAGCAGAAGGAGAGGATGAAGTATATGATGTGACGGGCGGGGAAAAAAAACTTGTATTTGACATGCGCCACTCGGCAGCTGTATATTCATTTTTTCCCTTTTCGGCTTATTTTATTTGGCAAATCGAGGGCAACTTCCCTTCCAAATTGCAGAGGTAAGAGAGAGAACTCCCCTCCTGCGCTCCCCAGATAGAAGGATTGGCTTTTCCGATATAAATCGGGAAACCTCGCGGATCAAGACCTTTAGGCTATCCGATGCTATTGTATATTCGTATTGTAAAGACATACGATTCGTATTGGCTCTTTGTGCGATAATTGGATTCTCTGTCTGGT